CTCAGCCGCCTCCGCTGGGCTCTGCGGAACAAGGAAACTCAGCAGAAGTTTGTCAGGTCTGGCACTGCATGGCTGTTATCAAGGGCATGTCCTTTGTCACAGCCATTGTGTGGGTGACTGGTACGTGGCCGAGGGTGGGAAGGCGGGAGATGACAGCACCCTTTGGGTTCCACCAGGCTGGACGGCAGCATCCGGACACTCATTGGGCTCTTCACCAGCAGGCTGGCTGACATGCAGATGGAGGCAGCCCGCTGTCTCCATGAGCTCTCCCACTCCAGTGACCCTGCTGTGGCTGAGGCATGTCTGCCAGCAACCTCCTATCTCCTCACCTACCTCTCGGGACATAGCGTTGAGTTCACGGTAAGACCTGTGCTGGCATTTGCCAGGGCTCTGGCACCTGATAATCCTTTGGTAGCGGTGGATGTTAACCTCTGTTGGCCAGCCTTAGCCTAACATGGTTTACATAGGAGTGCTTGTGGGAGGGGGCCCTCTGGAAGTCTTTAATCCAACCTTCTCCTTGGAGTAGAACTGTCCCTGGTGTTAGCCCAGGGCAGCAAGGCTTTGTCTGACCAAGTCCTGGAAATATGGAGACCCCCTTCATTGTGCCCCATCCCAACACCAAGAGGAGTTTGATTCCACTGTGTTTGCAGCTCCTTCCAGGTAGCTGCAGGCTGCTCTTAAATGCTACCAAGCTTCATCTGGGCCAGGCAAATCCACCTGCCACAGCCTGGGACACAGTGGTTTGCCCCATTTGCAGTGGGTTCCTCTTCTTCAGCTCCAAGCTCCGTCTGGGAAAGCAGGGACTGCAGGCTGTGGCAGCTGGGCTTGTGGTTTGGCCTGGACAGGAGGTACTTTGGAGTCTGTGTGGTGGGTAAAGCACAGATACTTGATGCAGGTCAGTTCAGGTGTTTTAAAAGATCTTGGAGAAGTGAAAGAACAAAACAGCTGCAGGCTGGGAGGCAGGAACAGCTCCTTTGTCAGCTTACCTTCATGCAACAAACAGGCAGGCTTTTGTCTGGGTGGGGGGGGAAGAGCAGAGTGCCTGTGGCTCCAAGCTGCACAGTTTGATCCAGGCAAAGGAGCAAACAGTTGGAGTAACTCTGGGATGCCCTTGTGTTCTGTCTGCTGCTGAGCAGGCGGCCTTGGGCAGCACATTGCCCTGCTTTGAGCGGTGGACAGCATGAGAGCCAAGGAACAAGATGGAGAGCAACACCAAGGTGATGATCATGTTTTAACGCAGCACACAGGCAGTCTCCAGGACAATACTGTGAAATTAGAGGGGTCTCAGGGAAATGTCACAGCAATAATTAGAAGCCTGAAAAACCTCTGAAGCAGAAGTGATCAGATCCCAACCTGAGCCAGATAGAAAAAGGATAAATTGAAGCTGATACAGCTGGGAATGGGGTAGCTGGAGAGTCCATCAGTATCCGTGTTTGCCCCTCTGAAGGCAGATTCTGCCCCACTCAGGAGATGTGTGTGCCCTGTCCCAGGGTGCAAGGACCTAGAGGCCTTGCTGGCTGCCCAGGGCGCCCGTGGGGAGTGCAGAGGAGGTGACCTGCTCTCTTGGGCGTGTTTCAGGAGCTGTGTTTGTACACCCTGGGGAACCTGGTAGTGGAAAGCGAAGCTATGAGAAAGCAGCTTCTGCCTCAGGGCATCATTCCAGTGCTGGCATCCTGCATCCAGGTGGGTGAAATATCTCAGCCACACTCCTCCCCTGCCCTGCCCCAGAAAGGTGCCTTTTCTGTTGCCCTCTAGACACTGGCTGGTATTGAGTTACCACCCCTTTTTCCAGCTGTGACCACGAGCAGAGACCCCTCTGCAGAGGGCTGTTCCCTTGCAGGTGAGGGTCTCTCATGGGTTTTCTTGCATTCCATTTTTGGGGCTCAGTGTTGGAGAACGGCTTGCAGAGAGCAAGGCCATAGCTCCCTGCAGAAGTCGGTCACAGCCACCTGAGGTAAACAGAGGAAAAAAAACAGGGTACAGTTATACTAATAAGGAAGGAGATTCAAGGCTCAGTGATGCTAACAAGGACTGTTGTGAGAACAAAGAGATAAGTTGGGGCGCATTATGACCTTGGGGGTGAGACAAAAACAGCCCTGGAAGGGAAACAAGCTCAAAGCAAGAAAAATGTTTATGCATACCAGAAATGCTACAAGGGGCTGGGATATTACAATGTGACCTTTTAGATGTACCCAATGGCTGAGATATTATAATGTAGCTTTTTTAATGTATCCAGTAGAGTTACAAGTAGTGTATTGTAGACTGCTTATATAAGGTGTGATTTCTTTCAATAAAGTTGAAGCTCGCTCTATCATTCACATTGAATCGGCTGCTTGCTTCCTCAGCCCGCCGCAGCTCAGGTCATCACCTTGTGCTCTTCTCCAGCTGAATCTCACATCCGTAACTGCGGCTTGCCAATAAACAGTCTGTGCCATGGGGAGCTGCAGGCTTCTCCCTCCATACAGCTTGGGTCCAGCAGGTGTACGAGGTCAACACAGTGAGAGGTGCTGTCATTTGCAGGTCTGAATGCTTAAAGCAGCACTGCTGCTGTGCTTGGGTTCCTGTGTCCTACAGCCGCAGCCCCTGTGAGTGCAGGGAGCGGGAACAGCTCAGCTCTGGTGTGGCCACAGGTTGCTCTATTGCTCCCGGTCCTCTGCTGTGTCCCCTTTTCTCCAGGCATGGAGAGACTGTGCTGCTCAGCTGCTTGGTTTGGTGTTACAAAGGGTATTGCCTCTCAACAACACAGCAGCTGGCACCCTGGGATCCCTCGGCTCTGTTGGGTGGCATTAGCTTTGTTCTGTTTGATTGCAGTCCCCACACGAGGCTGTGCTGGAAGGTCTGGGCTACGTCCTCTCGCAGCTCCTCCAAGCCAAGGAAGCTCCCACAGAGATCATACCGTGAGTCTGAGCCTTTTAACCCTGCATCAGGATGGGCCCTGGGGCCCGATGTGGTATTTGTGTGCTGGGGACAACAATGCCTTTCCCATCCCCGTGATATTAATAGTTCAGAGCAGAATCCTACCAGAACTATGGAGGTTTTGTGGCAGATCAGGGTACAGGACTTAACTCTTTTCCTGCAGCCTCATCTGAGCAGACAGCTCTGGTATTTCGGTAAAGGACAGTGTTGAGCAGGGTAGGCTTGCAGGGAAATTCTGACTGTATTCCTCCTGTGAATGAAAAGATCAGCTTGACAGCACCCAGTGCTAAAAATGTGGCCCCAGGCCCTGCCACAGACAGGGAAAGCTTATGCTGGGCCTTAGTGGTGCCTGAGGCTGCAGCCCTTAGGTAGGAGTCTCTTCCAGGTGTGTTTTCTGAGTATGTAGCCCCCAGCACAGGGGAGAGCAATTCCCCTGATGCTCAGTGGCCAGGGCTAGTGTCTCCCTGTCAGTTGTCTGTCCTGCTTGTGCTCTGGCCTGTGCCTCCATTAACTCTGCTGTTCTGACCCCAGCTTGGTTCTGGACTCTGTTCTCCCCCAGCACATGATTCGACTGGTTTGCTCTGACCTCAAGGGTGGGATAGGAGCAGCCGTGGAGTTTGCATGGTGTCTCCACTACATCGTTTGTAGGTAAATGCACTGTTCTCCTCATTGTGAGTTCCCTGGGGGCAGCCCAAGAGAGGCATAAATGCTCAGTGTCCTCTGAGGGGACCTGGATGGCCTCCCCTTGCCCTTTTCCCTTGGGAGAGCAATTTCCCTGCCATCCTGGGCATTCCTGCTCTCCTACCTGAGTGCACACATGCTGTTTGCATGATCACAGAGTTCCTTTACACGGTGATAACAGCTGATAAACCAGAGGAGGCTGTTTCTAGTCCTCTGAAACCACCCCAGTCGTCTCCCCAAGGCAAGGTTCCTGAATCCTCATGCTTCTGGGGTTGGCCCAGTGTGTCACCTGGCTGGGCTGGCTGCTGCCAACAATTTCTGCCTGCCCTGGTGTGGCTGCTCCAGTGTCATCTCCTTCAGCAGCCCTAGCAGAGAGGAACGTGTGGCTACTCAAAGAAGGATCAGGACTATTGTTTCCAGACCCACACAGATTATTCTAGTGGATCTGTTTTCTATGGGCTTTTAAACCTTCTCAAGCTCAGAAACAAGCTGCTATTCAACATGAAGCAAGCCCTAGGGTGGTTCAGGAGAGCACTGCGAATTTCCAGGCCCCATTTTTGGAAAGGGCTGCAGCAGTTTTTCCCTCTCCGAGTGCCGAGAGCAACCAGACTGTCCCTTGCCTTTGCAGCCATACAGCCAATGAAGCATTGCTGTCGCTGGGGGCCTTGCCTGCCCTCACCTCACTCTTGCTCAACCTGGCTTCTGCAATCCCCCAGGATGCTCCCAAGGGCCTGGAGCTGGTAAGACGTGGGCAGGGTGCTGGCCATTCCTAGCATTGCTGTGGGGACACGGTTGGCCTAAAGGACTTATTTCTGTCACAGCTTGTCTGCCCAGTGCTGCGGTGTCTTAGCAACCTGCTTGCAGAGGAGACAGGCTGTGAAGTCCAGATCCAGGATGAGCGCCTGCTCATCGCCCTCTTCCTCATCCTGCAGCACTTCCTCCAGCCGCACCCGTTCATCGTACAGGAGTGTCTCTGGCTGCTGAACAACCTCACGGGTGAGTGTCAGCAGAGCCAGAGCTTCTGCCAGGACCTGCCTTGATTGCTGGCAGACTGGTGGAGTCTTGTCTACAGAGACCTCCCTCAGAAACCTCACTTTTAGTGACAAGTTCTTTCTCTGCCCACTGTAGCAGACAAGCCCTTCTTCTGCTCCACTCTGCTCTCCCTGGACTTGCTCCCGGCCCTGATGCAGCTCCTACCATGTTCCCAGATGGCCAGCGTGTTGGTAAGACCTCGCCTCACGCCCCTTATCTGAGGGAGAAGCGCTGGACTTTCAGGAACATGAATCCCACATGCACAGTGCTCAAGTTGGGAGGTTGGCTTGGGGCAGTAGCAACAGCTTGGTGGAAGGTCTTGTCTCATGATAGTCACCATCCACCTCCCCTGAAGTCACTACGTCTGTATTTATGCTTGACAGAGTTGTGTGTCCCACCAGAAGGGTCCCAAGACAGAATGTTAACTTGGGGGCACCTGCCAGCACCTGCAGTGGACCCAGGGATGCTGCTCCCACCTTATTTTGGAAGACCCTAAAACTTTAGGGAGCCCTGGGGAGATGCTGTGCCAAGGGGTGGGTGGTGTGGCTTCTTCTGCTTGGCTCGGGGATGAACAGCACCTTGGGGTGAGGCTGGAGGTGGTTTTTAACAAACACACAGGTTTGGAAAAGCCCCTCTCAGAACCTCCAGCAAGGACATAGGAAAGCCCCAAAGAACTCCCTAAGCCTGCCAGCAATCTACCCACTAACAGACCCTCGCTGCTCACTCCCTCTCCCTCCAGGTCCTAACAGTTCTGTGCAATATAGCAGTGAAGGGGCCAGCCTACTGCCAGCAGCTGCACTGGCAGCCTGCCCTGACTCTGCTGCTGCCTGCCCTCACACTGCCCGACCCTGAAGCGGTGGGGCAGTGCCTTGAGCTGCTGCACCTCCTCTTCCAACACTGGCCAGAGGTAAGAGCCAGGAGCGCCTGCCCCAGAACCAAGCACAAGACTGTAAAGCCAGGGATAGGGATTGTTGTTACTGAAATCATGCTGCCTTCAGTCATTGCCATGCTAGCCCCCCCACTCCTCAGCACCCAGACATGTGCCTGAAGGGGGGCATTTGCATGATGCAGAGGATGGAAGCCCTTCTTGTGTCTCTGGGGAGTTCCCTTCCATTGACAATCACTTTTTTTGGTTGTACCCTTTCAGATTATCATGGGGGGATTCTTCTGATTCAGTTGTGCTTACTCTGTGTGCTCCTGGCCAGCAATCACTGTGGCTAGATTTACCTGGCTTGGGACTTTAGTGTCTGGTAGGGCTCTGGATCAGCTGTAGCAGCTACTCAGCTAGCAGCCAGCCAGCTCTTACCTCTCTCCTCTCACACAGGCTGCTGCTGACTTCATCAGGCAAGGTGGGCACTGGGCCCTTGAGCAGCACCAGAGCACCCCAGAACTCCAGGAGCGGGCACAGGCACTGCTGGCCATGCTTGGGCAGCCCCTGGGAGCCTCCACCTTCAGCCCCTGCGACACTAGGTTGTCTGCCTTCTCCTAGGCCATGCCACCTCCCCTCTCTCCCGCTGCGCTCCAAGGAGGAGTCAATAGATTCTTCACCCTGTCCCCTGCTTTCCCAAGGGTGGGTAGGGCTCTAACTGCCAGCTCTGGCTGCATGGGGACGCTGGTCCTTGGCAAGATACAGCTGTTTCCACCCTTGGAGCTACCAGCAGCCTGCCCCATGCCCCTCCCCAAGCCCAGTGCAGGGGCAGAGCTGAGCTGCAACCCAGGCAGACGGGCTCTTGATGCCAGAGAGGTGGTGTATATACCCTGTTGGACTGGCTGTTCCCTCCAGCATGTCCTTTTAGCTTTAAACCCAACATGTGAAACTCAGAGTAAGCATGTTGCATTTATGTGATTGATAAATTAAAAGATACATGTTTTACATTAATGATCATCAGTCAGGTCTTCAGCATGCACATGTTTACTGTCCATCTTCACACCTTGCTTTTCACAATGTTCTCTAAGGCCTTGGCCACTTCGTCCACAGTAAGGTTGTTCAGTGGCACACTTTTCTCTTTGCCAAACTCTGCAGGAAAGACAAAGAGTGAGAGAGGGGGCAGATGCCTCAGTCTGTTTGGTGCAAGGGCAACCCACAGCCCTGCTTTAGGTCTCCCAAGCACTACCGGTGTCACAGCCCAAGCTCCACTCACCACCCTCACACCCACCACTCCTCAGCATCCCTCCCTGTGACCAAGTACAGTTTCCACTTTATTCTCAGCCTTTCCCTTGGAGAGAAGCCAACGCAGCCTAACATATTTCTTTGCCTATTTTTGTTAACTTTTGCTGCAGAGCAGCTGGGCAGAGGTCATCACCACATGCCAAAGCAATCTGGTGGCTTTTGGTCTGTATACATCAAGATGCTCACTAACACTAAATTAGTGCTGAAAAACTTACTACTACAGCAGCCCCTACCTGGGGCTATATTTCTCTGCAAGTCACATACCAACAAGAGATAGACTATACATGTAGGCTCTTCTGTTGGCCCACGTGCTCACACTGGGAAACTTGTGCTTAAAATATCTTTGGAAAAAAGTTTCTAAATTATTTTTGTCCAGCCCAGATGGCTTTAGGAAAAATTCAAAGCTTTTACAGAGGAGCTTTTCTGCTCCCTCCTTGGTAGTTTCATGGAGAACACAGTGAAAATAAAGGAAAAAACAAAAACATTTTTCTGTATAGGAATTCTACCAGGGTAGGAGATCACAGCCACAAGCTGACAAACCACTTTCTAAGCCACAGGTCCCTTTTCTGCCTCCCACCAGGTCTTGCAGCAGTAACACACATTCCCCACTTGCGTTCCCCACTTGCAGACAGCTGCTCCCCCTCCCTCCTGTGATAAGTAATCAAGGGTAATTTGCAGATCAAACGGGTTTTTCTTAACAAAAGGAATGATCTTGCTGCAACAGATCTGAGAACATCCTGTCTGGCAAGGAAAAAAAAGACTTAACAGCGAGGTTGCAAGATGTACTGTCTCAAGGCAACTGTTAAACTGCAATCTTATGTTACCATGACAACTTCTGAACTTTTGTCTTTGTTTAGTTTAGATCTTAGTGTAAAAAGAAATTAGTTTTGTAATTTACAATTTCACAGCTCCCTGTTAACAAATGTACAGCCCCCCGTTATGTGACTGAAAGCCTAACTATTTGCTCAAACCGACAAACCGACCTTGAAGCTAGCCAGCCTTAAAGAAGTTATAATAACAGAAGCTAAGAGGCATGCTGAAGACGTCAAAACCGACCTCCGCGAGAATAAAAAGGCTGCGTTACTTGTCGGAATTTGCGAGCCTTTTACTTGTCGGAATTTGCAAGCTGCGACTCCCCGGCCACCCAGCGCGCTGTTTTGCTTTCCTACCTTAATAAATATTTAGTGAATTTATTTCGGATTCTAGTAATTTTAATTCAGCTATAACACTCCGTGTCTCCTACTGTAACCCCTACGTGCTGCAGACGGCTGGGCTCTGGCACTCGCTTCCAGCTGCCCTCCAGTGGTGCTTCCCGGCGGGCACCCCTCACCTACCGTACCGAGCCCAGAGCTTGGGCTGGACACCGGAGCACTCGCGGATCAGGATGGGGAAGTCGGGATTGGCCTTCTTCAGGGTCACGTAGTGCTGCTCGATGAAGTCTCTGGGGAGGGAAGGAGGAACGGCGGACGCCCGTGGCTGAGTCCGCCGGCGCCGGGCAAGCCAGTGCCTCACTCGCCCAAGCTGGACCCGCTCGCCGAGCGGCCGCCCGGCCCGGCCCCGCGGCT